TATCTTGACCTTCCATTTCATCTCAAACAATGCTTCGTTTACTTTTTCTTGTTTCCTGAGTATGAACCTCAAGATCGTGATGATCTGGTTCGATTATAATGGGACGAAGGCTTTGAAGAAGAGCAAACTTATTCATTATAGGAAGATGTAGCAGAAGAATATTATAAAGCCTTGATTCGTAGAAAGCTTCTTCAGTCTGATCCTTATGATGTCAGTCAATATTGCAGAATGCATGGCTAATTGAGATCTTTGGCGCAATTTCTCTCACAAGATGAAATCTTTTATGAAACTATAATGGTTGTTATCAATCGAAGCTCCTGAAAGTGCAGCGGCCATTAAAGATTTGATAATTGAGGAAAAAAATATGAGAACACTTCTTACTTTGATAGGAATCAATATGCTAGATAATATCAAGTTTGTAGAATTGGCACGCCTTCTTGTGCTCTGAATTATTGGTGTTCATTTATCTCAAATATCTTGGTTATCTGATATACATGAGATATCATCTACTTTTGTTTTCTTTGTTAGAATGTCAGCAATGGTCTTTATCGCTAGAAAGACGTCATAACATTTTTAAACATTAATTTGAAAACCTAAATGTGTCAACTTTTGAATCTCCACATTTTCTCCATCCAAAAAAACCCTTCTAAAAAGAAATTCCCAACTAATCTCAACTGGAAGCTGCATCACTGAATGTATATGTGTCACCCTCATTTTCCTTGCAACATTTTCATCTCTTGTTGTGACTAGAATCCTAATAATTTTAGTAGCACTCTATAATAAATATCTAAATAGGTTAATATAAACATCTGCCCTCTAATCATCTTCCAGTGAGCAGCGAGTTGAATTAATGGTTAAAGCTCCGTTTTAGTTCTAGCATCACCATAAGAACCTCCAGCTCCTCTAATCAATTGTAGCAACAATTCTATCTCATTATAATTTTACAAAAAAAATACCAGCAATTTGATTTGGAACTCAGTTTGTATGTTCTTGTTATATATTTTTAGAGTAATTGTCATTTTTTTATTCCTCTCATTCTAATAAGCACAAACTCGTGACCTTTTTTTGTGTGCTCTGCAACAATCAACATCACCAACTTTTTTAGGCCTTTTCAATCTCAATTTCCAGTACATCAAACTTTAACAAGAAGGATGTTTAGCTGGTGTTTGGCGCTAATAATTGGAAAGGGACAATTAACGATATAAAAGAATCGAGTCAAGCTCCAGTATTGCATAATTGTTAAGATTAAAAAATTCTTAAAAATTATGTGTGGTTCATGAGAAAACATTCTGAAGAATTTTGTGGTGTGTTGTACCTTAGCTATGACGACCTTCAAACTTATCTCAAACAATGCTTCGTTTATTGTTCCTCGTTTTCTAAGGATGGATTGTATGATTGTGATGATCTAGTTCGATTATGGGTGGCCAAAGATTTCATAAAAGAGCATATTGTTTCATTAGAGGAAGATATAACAAAAAAATATTACCAAGAATTTATTAGTACAAACCTTCTGCGGCATGTTTCTTATTATATCAGTCAATATTACTGAATGCAAGATCGATTATAATTTCTAATGTAGCTTCTCTCATAAGATTTAATTTTTTCTGGAATTAAAATGGGTGGTATAATCATCTCTCTAAGGGCAAAACATCTAAGACCATTAATAAAAAATCCTAAGAGTGTAGTGGTCATTAAAAGTTTGATAATCGAGCTAAAAAGTTTGAGAACTCTTCTCACTTGCAGAGGAATCAATATGCTAGATGACAATCAGTTGCAAAATTGGCACTTCTTCATGTGCGAATTAATGGTCTTTGTTTATCTCTCTATCCTAACTCATTGATTATCTGATACACATGAGGCATCCTCTACTTCTGTCTTTCTTTGTCAGAACGCCAGCAATGGTCTTTATCATTAAAGGACGGCCAGAACATTTTTTAACAATTTCAAATCTTAAATCTGCCATTATTTCAATCTCCTCAAATTCTCCATCCAAAAAAACCTTTCTACAAAGTTTTTCCAAATTAGTCTTAACTGAAAGTTGTATCTCGAGATGCATGTTTGTCATGAGGAGATTAAAAGCTACATCTTTGGATGTATGTGTGCCACCCCCCTATCCATCGCAACGTTTGCATCTCTTGTTGGGACTAGGATCCTAACAATGACAGTAATGCTCGGTAATGGATTTTTAAACAAATTAATTCAAGCATTATCCTCCAAACATTATTCAAAACAAAACAAAAGGCTCTTCAATTGAGCAACGAACCGAAGTAATGGTTGGAGTTCCGTTTTAGTTCTGGCATCACCAAACGAACATCTAAACCTTCAATTCATTTGTTGCAGTGATTCTATCTCATTATAAGTTTGTGAAACATAGACTCATAATTTGATTTGGAACTCGGTTTGTATCTTCTTATTGTTATATATGTTTTGTGTAAGTGTGGTTTTTCCTATTTCTCTCATCCTAGTAAGGAAAAACACGCGATGTTTGTTTGCATGCTTTGCTACTATCAACGTCATCAATTTTTTTGTGGCCCTTTCAATCTAAAATTCCAGCACATCAAATTCTTTCAAGGAGAAAATTTGACGGGTGTTCACAGCTTGGAATAAAAAATGGACAGTAATTGATGTAAAAGACTTGAGTCTAACACGAGTCATGCATGATTGTTTGGATCTAAGATTTAAGTAGAAAAGAATGGAAAAAAAGTTCCTAAAAGTTATGTGTGGTCCATAAGAAACCTTCCCGAAGAACTTGATAGTGTGATGTACCTCAGCTATGATGATCTTCCATCTCATCTAAGGTAGTGTTTGTTTATTGTTCCTTGTCTGCTGAGAATGAACCACTTGATTGTGATAATCTAGTTCAATTATGAGTGTCCAAAAGCTTCTTAGAAAAGCAAACTAATTCTTTATAGAAAAATGTAGCAGAAGAATTGATTGATAGAAATCTTCTTTAGCGTGATCCTTATAATGTGGGTCAATATTTTATAATGCACGATAAGTTGAGATCTCTAATGCAGTTTCTCTCATAAGATGAAATCTTTTCTAGAACTACAATGACTGCTACAATTATCTCTCTCCAAGGACAAAACTTTAAAGATTATTAATCAAAACTCCTGAAAGTGTAGCAGTCATTAAAGGTTTGATAATCGACAAAAAAAGTTTAGAACTCTTCTTATGTGTAGAGGCATTAATATTTTAAATGATATCCAGTTGATAGAATTAGCATGTCTTCATATGCTGCAAATTAATGGTCTTTGTTTATCTTCTATTCCCAACTTTATTGGTAATCTAATACACATGAGATCTCTTCTACTTCAGTCTTTCTTCGCCAGAACTGTAATAATGGACTTTATCGCTAGAGGGAGTCCATAACATTTTTTAAGATTAAATTTGAAACTTTTTAATCTCTTCCTCCTGTTCATCCAAAAAAACTCTTCTACCAAGTATTTCCAAACTAGCCTCGACTGTATGTTTGGGTGTAAATGTGCCACCCCCATCTCTCTCGCACATTTTCATCTCTTGTTATTACTAGGATCCTAACAATGGAAGCAGAACTTGTAATAGATTTATAAACAGATTAATGCAAACATTTGCCCTTAAGACATCATCCAAAACAAGAAAAGGGCTCTTCCCGTGAGCAACGAACTAAAGTAATGGATGGAGCTCCATTTTAGTTCTAGCATCACCATATGAATCTTCAGTTCCTCTAATCACTTGTTGCAGCAATTATATCTCATTATAAGTCCGTGAAACACATACCCTTACTTTGATTTGGAACTTAGTGTATCTTCTTGTTATATATTTTTTGAGCAAATATGGTTCTCCCTATTCCACCATTCCAGTACGCGCAAACATGCGACATTTGTTTGTATACTCTGCAAATATCAGTGTAACTAACTTTTTTGTGACTTCTTAAATCTTAGTTCCCAACACATCAAATTCTAACAAAGAGGAAGTTTGGCAGGTGTTCACCACTAGAGGTGGAAGTGAGTCGAGCGGGCGCGTGAGATAGAATGCCAATTTATTGCTATCTAGCTTGGGAGATATGCATAAAGACAATAAAGAAGAATAGTAATTTTATGTAAAAAAGCAAATTGAAATATTGTTCAAATTTATTCCTAATATTTCAAAAAGATTTAGATAATATTGAAATGATATATATTGAGATAATATAATAAGTTTGGAAAAAAGAGAATAGCAAAAGACAACAAACTAAAGTAGTTGTAATTGCTTGACCTACGTTCACTGTGAAGAGAGTGAACAATAGCTTAATTTTCGAAACAGTTATTATAAATTATGTGGCATCTGCAGAAAATTTTTGAAGTTAAAAATTTAATGGTTACATCATTCCACCAATTAGTCCTATTATTTACATATTTAATACACAATTTTATCTTTTCACATTTTCTTCGCCAAAATCTTTCATATTACATTATAACTACCATCATTTAAATTTTAATAAATAAAATTGGCGCAACTTGTCGTGCACAAATAAAGTGGTATGATATATATATATATATATACATGATTTGAGAGTTATATATGTATTTCTTCCAAGTCTATTTTGTAACTTTCATCCCCTTCTATAGCATTCAAAGAAGAAGCAAGCCATTGGATTCTCATTTGATCAAATATAACTTGTTCAAATAATATTACCTTGACACAAACAAACTAATTATAATACACTTGACGTCTCATTCATGCCAAGCACATGAAGAATCTATATTCATAAATTGCCCTCAATCATCTCATTCCGGAACTAACTAAACAAATAAGATATTGAATTCTTTCAAGTGGGATTTATATACATACCACAAATTTCTTAAAACATTTACGTATCTAACACATAAACTCTAATATTTACTTACCTAACACTGAATTTTCTTACATCATATCTAAAATGCAATGATAACCTTCCAAAGTAAAAAAACACAATTTCACGCATATATTTTGATTTGATTGTGACGCAAGAGTGTTATATAAATTAATAAATAACAAAATTTGACATATGGGTGATGTGTTATTATTATGCAAAAAACACAGTAAAACTACCAAAGTGCAACAAATACTTTTAGTCCACATTACCACAGAATCACACATAGCAAGATAAGAGCAAGTTGCAGTAGTTAGTTCTACATTAGATACCAGCTACTGAGAGCATAATTTGCGAACAATAAAATGAAGACTGCATATGTGATTGTACTACTTACACGATTATATCAAGCGAGGCGAAGATCGTGAGAGCTATATCCCGTTCCTTGAAGATTTTGTTGGTTGGGTTGCACCCGGAAGGCATACATGTGAGACCCGTCATTTGCAAGAGCAAGAACACCCTCATAATTGCTTGAATCCTCGTGGAACCCATACACTGGGTGGTCCTCAACGATTTCCTGCATTTAGTTTTAAATTTTAGACATTTACCTTAGATTCTGGGATGATAAGAGCTTGTTTGGAATCATTTTAGTTTTTTGTTGGATCATTTACATAATTAGCACACGATTCTTATGCATTTACAAACCTCGCACATAAACTTTTACATGCTCTCACATAGCACTCAAATATTTAATATCACATCAAAAATAAAACTATTATTATATTTTAAAAATGAAATTTACATATGCATTAGCTTAAAACACTTTGTGCTATGTGTGTAAATATGAAAATATAGTTGTGAGATATATAAGATATGTAAATAGATAAGAATCATGTGTTATCTTGTATGTGAATTTCCCTTTTATTTTGATTTTTATTTTTCTTTTATTGTTATAAATATAATTGCTTAGAGTATTTTTTTCATACTTTTTTATCTTAGAAAAATATATTGATCTATTTTTAAAAATAATGAAAAATACGTATAAATTATTTGGAGTAATTTTAAAAATAACTAAGCATATTAGAGCATATTAAATTTGTATTATTTTAATTAAGAATATTAACAAAATAAAATTAAAATAAAATTAAAAAAATGATCTCAAACAATCTTAAGCCAGCTTGAGTGCTCACCAATTCGTGCATTAAGTTCCGGTGTGTTTCTTGGGAGTTCTTCAACTGCAACAAATGAAGAAGAGGGGTAAGAAATTGAACAAAAATAAGAACTCTGGTGGGTAAGAAATTGAACAAAAATAAGATACAAAATTTAAAAATTTAAATTAATGTCTGAGAATTCATAGACAGGTAAAAACTGTTGAATTTAATTATCAAAAGGTGTGCACATTATAGATCTCTCAGGTATAACTGTTTAAAGTGATGATGATATAGATGGAGATGTTATTAGTAGAATTCAAGTTGGTCGGTTAAAGTAGAGGAATGCATCAAACTTATTGTGTGATAGAAAGTATTGATTAGATTTAAAGGAAACTTTTACAAGATAATGGTGAAACCTGCAATGCTTTTATAAGATAATAGTGAGACATCCAATGCTTTATGGCACGGAATGTTAGTCTTTAAAAGAGAAGCATAAACAAAGTTAAATGTTGCAAAGATAAGAATGCTTAGGTGGAAGTGTGGCTTGACACTTAGAAACAAAATGTGAAATTAATATTTCCATAAAAAGGTTGGTGTAGCTCCAGTGGCAGACAATTTTAGAGAGAGTCATCTTAAATGGTTTGATCATATTAAAAGCCAGTCATATGATGATCTAGTTAGGATAGTAGATGTTTTAGATTCGACTTATGCTAAAAAGGACGGAGGTAAACCCTAAAAGACGGGCATATTATATAAAAAATGATCTTAATCTACTAGAATTAAGTGAAAATTTGACACTCAATAAAACACAATAGAGAAAAAGGATTCAAGTAGTAGATTCCACTTGGCGAGATAAAGGCTTGTTATTGTTGTTGTTGTATATAAAAATATCACTATTTTGTAAGCGAAATGCGTCTTTTTCATGTGAAGACTAATGTCATATATTTAAATATAAAAATTTAGGTTTTAGATATAAGTAGGTAAGAATTATATAATCTATAGTTGTGTAACAAATTTTTACTACAAATTGTTGGCAACATAATGGATGACAAATCTCATATTTTATCCATAAAAAAACAGTTGGCTATTTTTGGACTATAACTTGGAAAACCTATATAATTACATGGTCCACAACCATAAAATTCTTTTCATATGGTAGTGACAAAGAAAAAAATAAAAATTTAAACGCTGACAAAATATATTGAGCATACTTTGACATCCAAACAATTGATGAAACAATGTCCTAACCACCAAACCTAACGTAGAAAAAGAAAAACTAACCGTATATGCATTAATCAGCGCATTTACAATTATTGTTGATGGATGCGTTTTATTACCAATAATATAAAACACCTGTGCGAATCGACTGAAAAAGCGTCAAGCAATAATTAACGCTATTGACTACAATCGTGATGATCGCTGATTGATTGTTGATATCGATACCAAGTTTACTTTCAGTAATACAGATATCAAAATATTTTAGGGAAATTTACGTACATATTGCACATTTCTTATGTATTTACATATCTAACACCCAAAATTTCATATTTACACTTGTTTACATATTGCACATTTCTTATGTATTTACATATCTAGCACCCAAAATTTCATATTTACACTTGTAAAAATTTTCCGACATAAACCTATGCACTAAAAGATGAATTTAACTTTTATAAAGATTGTGATTGAGATATTCCGCGTAAATATGAATGTTTTTTTAATATTATAAATACGAAAATTTAGGTATAAGATATGTAAATATACTAGAATTGTGTGGTATGTATGTAAATTCCCCAGTATTTTACGGTTCAACTTGCTTCCGAGATCAAAACTTGCTACTGTGTTCTAAGAGGGATTACAATAGAGACGGTTCCAAGGAGCAACAATCATGATAAATAATATGACGAAAATGTGTTCATCTAAAAAATTGATAAAAAAAACAGAGCCAAAAATATTTTCTAATGAGAGCAAAAATTAACAATTTAAGAAAAAAACCTTTCAACTGGCCAACATCTTAAATTTTTAGAAAGAATATTGTTGAATTCTGATTTATCGGTGAATCGCACCCCAAAAAAGGCATAAGAAAGGAGAGAGTGACGAAAATGTGGTCATCTAAAAAATTGATTAAAAAAGAGCCAAAAATATTTTCTAATGAGAGCACAAATTAACTATTTAAAAAAAAAGCCTTTCAACAGGCCAAGATCTTAAATTTTAAGAAAGAATATTGTTGAATTCTAATTTATTGGTGAATTGAAACCAATACACCAATCTTTATATTTGTGAATAGTAATAAACAAAAATAATAAACAAAAATACATCTTGTCCATTCTTATTTTCTCATTAAATTATATTTATATTTATAGAAGAGATGATACAATGTAGTGATATTATATTTGTGTCTAAGCTTTAATAGGGTTTGTATAGGATATTCTAGATATTTTATATATACGACCATATTCCTCAATTGTTCTCTGGCTAGGTAGTTTGAGCATGTTTGACCTCGACTCATTAAAGCCGGTCCGATCAGCTAGGTTGAGTTGGCACTACCAGCCAGCTAATCTTATTTTGCTCCGGGTCAGTAGCACTTGATTCGAACGACTAGTCTTTGTCGATTTGCTGATCTAGTTTACCTATCAACCCTCGATCTCTGGATGAGAAGCACATGTCGGTAGAACAAGCCTAAATTATCTACTAGAGAGTGAACCATCATAGCCTAACAGGTGACCCGTTTCTGAACAATGAGAGTCTATGGGATGACTATAAGATTTTCTTGTGTTTTCAGTTCTTGGTCCCTTATGAGGAGTCTCGGAGACGTCCGTGGAATAATGAGTGCATTGAGGAACTATGTCTTTTCTCAAGTCGAATTTACCATAAGGTGAGCTGATGACTTCACTTGGCTTTCTTAAAGTGGTTAGCTGGGATGCTCATTTATCTTCTTTTAGTCTAATTAATTAGGATTCGGATCGATCGTCCGTCTTTTTGTTCTTCTCCTTGCTTGATCAGTCTTCCGCTTTGACTTAGACAGCTACATCTAGTCTATTCGGAGGGCCTTCTGGTATTCTGTCTGTGAGTCATCCTTTATCGTACATTCTTCTTTCTAAGCTGTTAAATCTCCTCGAGATCAGCACCAACACATTTTCAATGCACAAATTTTAATTCACCAATTCTTTTATTCTTGAAAGCGATGTTGTGATATGAATAAAAATATATAATGAAAAAAGTAAATAGCATTTATTCTTTAATCAGTGATTCAACAATTGAACGCCCTGAAATATAGAGATGGTGCTACACATTTTTAATGTTTATATTTTAATTCATCGATTCTCCTATTTCTTGAAAGTGATGTTATGATAAAAATAAAAAATTTTAATAAAAAAGGTTTAAAACATTTGTTCTTTGATTCAATAATTGAATTTTTTGAATTTTTGCGCCCTTGATTTCTTATAAATAAGGCATGATGGTACTCTTTAGCATTCCATATTTGCTTTGAAATCTTCATTTGAATCAGTCGGCTTTTAAGTTTAATCATGAAGAACGCATCAAATCTTTTAGTTGATCTAAATTTATATATTATTAGGTATGACTCATAATACCAGAATTTGGAGTCTCTTTGAATGAAGAGATGTCTCTTGGAATTGAAGAGATGTGTCTCTTGGAATTCAGTGGGTTGAGATCAGCGAGGGCGCAGCAGAAGCATGATGGCCTAACCCACATTGGTGCAGGTGTAACTCCCAGGTATCTTTTCTCCTAAGGGGCTGGATATTCGCCAAGGTGGAGATTTGTTATGGTATGACTCATATACCATATAGGGACAGATGTTGGAACGAAGCGGAGCAAAGCGGAGCGAAAGAATTTGTCCAAATTGGGAAGTTACGTTATATGGGTTGGGGCTATACGGTACAGGGGTAATTTGGGAATTACATATTGTACTGCAGGGCTTACTCTAGGATTATAAATAGACCTGCTTGTAATCCTAGGTCTTTGAGAGAGCTGAATATTGTATTCTGTAATCTTTTCTGAATA